AGCTAACGAAGGAAATGGATGGGTGGATAGATGAATGGATAGGTAGATAGGAAGAGTGGAAAGATGAAGGGAGTATCCGAAGAGAGGGATGAGATGAATGATTAGCTGCAGATGAGGGGAAGCAAAGCAATTGCGGAGTCAGAAGACCGGCCATTCATCAGAATCCCGGATTGCATGCAGATTCCACCATCTTCTCCACAGCCATAATTCCATTCCACTTGTTCAATATCTAAACAAAGTCAATATAACAATGTGACCCATAGTTACATGGACATGTTATGATGGGGCATGACAACAGCATCCCAAATATAGAAGGAAGTAAGTAGATGATCATGTAATCATTTATGTAACAGAACTAACTACCCCCACACCCCCAACCGAGCTTAGCAATCAGGACCCCTCCTGTCATTTACTCCAATCCAGATCTTCTACGTACTTCTTTTCTTTCTTCTCTACTACCTACTATTCCTCCTCCTCCTCCTCCTCCTCCTCCTCCTCCTCCTCCTCCTTACTTACTTGACTCCCTTCACAAAGCCAACAAACACACCCATCATCTACAAAGAACCAATTTTCACCAACCACCCAAAATGGAAGACACTCCCCTCCCCCCCGCAAGCACCGACGTACGTCTACCCCACAATCCCCATCCCTCCTCTTCAAACCCCCAACTAACCACTTACTTTTCCCTCCCAAACAGCCCGCGACCTCGCCGCCCTCGAATCCAACCCCTCCGTCCTCTTCCCCACCTTCACTTCCAGCACCGCCTGGACACTCGGCCTAGCCCTGCGCGAGCGCATCCTCTCTCTCCCACCCACGCAACGCAAACCAGCCTTAATCTCCATTACCTTGACGGGGGGCTCCGAACCACACGTCATCTTCCAATGCGCGACCGAGCCCGGCACGGTAGCAGACAACGAGGTGTGGGTGCGACGGAAGCGGAACACGGTGTTGCGATGGGGCGTGTCGAGCTGGTTGATGAGACAGAAGATGCTGAGTTCGTCGGGGGCGGATGCGAGTGAGGTGGAGGCGGCGTTTGTGAGGAAATTTGCCTTGACGAGTAGCGGTGGTGGAGGCGCGGCGGATGAGTTTGCGATTCATGGAGGCGCGTTTCCGATTCGTGTGAGGGGCGTGGATGGCATTGTGGGTGTTGTGGTGGTGAGTGGGTTGAAGCAGGAGGATGATCATCAGGTGGTGGTGGAGACGGTGAGGGAGGTTATTGCGAAGATGTAAATGGATTCACTGTATTATATTTTATATAGAAATTGTATTAGAGTGATTTGTTTATTATGTTGTGTTGTATGGTGGTTGTGTGATGTGTATTGTATAGTCTACAAATTTTAAGAGTCAAGGTTGGATAAAAGGTATCATGCAATTGCTGCCTCTAATAATGTCAAGGTCAGGTCAGGTATCATACTCGGTTGGACGACTGGTCAGCAAAAACCGGGCCAAAACAATGGTCTCAACAAAAACACACAACAATCAAAAAGCTAACTCCATAAAGATCCCTCTAATGGTATGGTAATTTTACAATTCATCATGCCCGCTGGGCTCGTCATCCTCGTCCGCCGGCGCAGAGCCATACAGCTTGCTGGTGATCGGGTACGCCACGTTAGAGAGCTGCTCCTTCTGCTCCTCGAAGTCCTCGGTGGTGGCAGTGGCAGCGTTGTCCTCGAGCCACTCAGTCACCTCCTTGACGGCGTCCAGGATGGTCTGCTTGTCGTCCTCGTCGATCTGGCCACCCAGGCCGTTCTCATCGTTGACCTGGTTCTTCAGGCTGAATGCGTAGTTCTCCAGGGTGTTGCGGGCCTCGATCTTGGCCTTGATGGCCTTGTCCTCCTCGGCGAACTCCTCAGCCTCGGCAACCATGCGGTCAATCTCCTCCTGGGACAGACGACCCTTGTCGTTGGTGATGGTGATGGACTCGGCCTTGCCGGTGCCCTTGTCACTGGCGTGAACCTTCAGGATACCGTTGGCATCCAGGTCGAAGGAGACCTCGATCTGAGGAACACCACGGGGAGCCGGGGGAATGCCGGTAAGCTCGAACTTGCCGAGCAGGTTGTTGTCCTTGGTCAGGGAACGCTCACCCTCGTCTGTGACAGTCAGTTAGCAGACATTCCGGGATATTCAATCAAAGCATGAGATACTTACAAACTTGGATGAGGACGGTGGGCTGGTTATCAGCGGCGGTAGAGAAGATCTGGGACTTGCGGGTGGGGATGACAGTGTTGCGGGGGATGAGCTTGGTCATGACACCACCAGTGGTCTCAATACCCAGGGTCAAGGGGTTGACATCCATCAGAACAACGTCGCCGGTACCCTCCTCACCGGAAAGGACACCACCCTGGACGGCAGCACCGAAAGCAACAGCCTCATCAGGGTTAATACCCTTGCTGGCCTTCTTGCCACCGAAGAACTCCTCGAGAAGAGCCTGGACCTTGGGGATACGGGTAGAACCACCGACGAGGACAATGTCGTCGACCTCGGACTTCTTAACCTTGGCGTCCTTGAGAACCTGCTCGACAGGCTTCAGGGTCTTCTTGAACAGATCCATGTTCAGCTCCTCGAACTTGGCGCGGGTGAGGGTCTCAGAGAAGTCCTCGCCGTTGTGGAAGGCCTCAATCTCAATACGGGTGGACATCTGGGAAGACAGAGTACGCTTGGCCTTCTCAACCTCGCGCTTCAGCTTACCCATGGCCTTGAGATCCTTGGTGACATCGACGTTGTTCTTCTTGTTGTAGAGCTTGACAAAGTGGTCCATGACACGCTGGTCAAAGTCCTCACCACCCAAGTGAGTGTCACCAGCGGTAGCCAAGACCTCGAAGACACCGTTGTCGATGGACAGGAGGGAGACATCGAAAGTACCACCACCAAGATCGTAGACGATGACCTGGCGCTCATCACCAGTCTTGTCCAATCCGTAGGCGATAGCGGCGGCGGTGGGCTCGTTGACGACACGGAGAACGTTCAGGCCGGCAATGGTACCAGCGTCCTTGGTGGCCTGTCTCTGGGCGTCGTTGAAGTAGGCGGGGACGGTGACGACGGCGTGGGTGACCTTCTTTCCAAGGTAGCCCTCGGCGATCTCCTTCATCTTACCAAGAACCATGGCGGAGACCTCCTCGGGGGTCAGGGTCTTGGGGGTCTGGTTGACATCGACCTTAACGTGGGGCTTGCCGTCCTTGTTGACGACCTTGTAGGGGAAGTGCTTGGCGTCCTTCTGGACATCCTTGTCATCGAACTTGCGACCGATCAGGCGCCTAGAGAGCGTTAGCAACAGATGGCCACGAAACTCGCGAGAAGCAGAAAAACTCACTTGATGTCAAAGATGGTCCGTCTGGGGTTGGCGGCGTATTGGTTCTTAGCGGCGTCACCGACCAGGCGCTCCTCATCGGTGAAAGCGACGTATGAAGGGGTGATACGGTTTCCTTGGTCGTTGACGAGAATTTCGACCTTTCCATTTTGCATAACACCGACACAAGAGTAGGTGGTTCCCAGATCAATACCAATGACTGTGGATGACAGAGATTGTTAGTAGATTTTCTTCATTGTCCTGGCAGACGCTGTGCTTACCAGTTCCGTAGCTCTCCTGAGGCGAAGTCTCATCCTGAGCGTGTGCAGTGCCGAAGAAGGCGAGGGGGGCAATGAAAACAAGCAACAAGTAGAAGATGGTGGTCCAAGCCGTGAAGGGCTTGGCCGCACCCTGATGCGAGATGCGCGCCATTATGTGTGTAATGTCCTTTCACCACAGGACACGTAGTAAACTTTTAATCGACGAGCTGCTCAATTGGAGACAGCAGCGAATGAATGTAAAAGAATCCTCCTATTGCTCGTACACGGTTTTTTTTTCCCGGCACGAAGAAAGAAGGAAAAAATAGATACAGTCCAACCCAGATGAGAACGGGAAGGAAAGAAAGAGCGAGGGGAGAAGAGGGAAGGGGGGAGAAGAGAGTTGGGTGAAAAGAAGGCGACGACGGAGAGAAGAAAGAGTGTCTCGAGAAGCTCCGGCCAGCTTCTTGTATGGCTTGCCAGCGGCAAAGAAAGCGCAGCGGCCATGCTGGCCTTTTCGCGGGTATCTGACTTTAAGGTTACTCCTCGGGCTGTCATTGGTCCGCGACGCGTCCAGGGCAGGGCTGAGTCAGCGTGCACGGCCACCGCCCGGTGGTTCTGCCGGCGGAAAAATGGAAGGCGTTCGTCCAAATGGGGAAAGGCGGTCCACCGAACTTGCTAGAATCGTCGCGTGATTCGTTCGCTTCGGTTAGGCGTTCTTCACTCCTCCAGGGGCACTTTGCCTCTTTCGGCACTTGAACAACTGGCCGTTCCGTTCCTTCGGCGCCATTTCCCGGGAGATTGACCCTACTTACTGAAGTCCGGGGGTTGACGCTGAAGATGGAAGAAAGATGAGAAAAGGGGCCAGCCTGTCAACAACTGGGCAATCACCACATGGCCAGATTCCACTCTTGACCATCATTGAGTCGAGTCATTACTCACTCCTTTTTGAGTCACCAAAAGATCACCCAAGGGTCTTCCGCTGTGAAAGTGGATACATCCCTCCCCACTCAGGAGGCGCATCCCAGCTTGGCCCGATTCCTGAATTATTGATCCAGCCAAGGCATGAGGTTTCTGCCAGCCTGGCCAGATCGTTTGATCTCTGTTTCAGTGGATGTGGCTGAAGGGACTCTTTCTCCGTTAGTCACCAAAGGGGCCATTGTTAGCAGCTCTCGTAGTAGTGTATGAGACAAACATACTCTTAAGTCATATAATACTAGTAGGTTGTTAGTAGTACTTGTGGTAGTAGAGTAACCATAGTACTACAGAAAGTCAATAAATTATTGCTGATCACGACTTAGTATGATCAGTAGTAGTTGACTACATAGTAGACCAACTTGGTGCGCTCAAATGGCGCGGAAAGAAATATATATGTTTAAAGGCAACTATGTAAATACCGGGACATACTATCCACATCAGAAATATATATTATCCTGACAATGCAATCAAGCCATAATCTACTCTAGCAACCCAGCAGCCACTGTTTCACCTGCAGCACGTAGTACAATGCGTGTAGGTGCCTCAAGAGGTACAGCCTGGTCCATCTCAACCACTATCCGTGCCACAGTGCCGGGTGCAACAATCTTGGGCTTCTTCTTGATGCTTGCGCCGGTCACCTTGTCCAAGGTTGCGACCAGTTGGCTGATACGGCCGGGTACGTGCAGGCGGCCCCGGTGGATGTCCACCATGCTGGGCAACAGATGGTCAAAGGCCAACACCTTGCACGTAAACGACGTAACATTGGCAATGGGTGCCGAGGAACGGCAGATGACATCGCCAGATCGGAGATGAATGGGGTCAATATTGACCAGGTTGAGCGTGACGTTCTGACCCGCCACCGCCCAGTCGTTGGGCTCCCCGTCCACTTCCAAGCTGCGTATCGTGGCCTTTTCGCCACTTGGCATCGTGAGGATCTGATCGCCAACTTGGAGACTACCGGCGTCGATGCGGCCAGAAATGGATAGAGGATTCTGAACGCTGCCCCGGAAGACGTCCCCAATGGTCATTCTCAATGGCTTCTCAATAGCATGGGCGTAAGGTTCCGTAGCTTCAAGCTCCTCGATCAACGTATGACCCTTGTACCATGAGACATTCGGGTCTTCACTGCGTCTAGTTACGTTATCGCCGCTAATACCCGAGCAGGGCACGAAAGCGATGTTTTTGGCTTGGAATCCAGCAGTTGTCAGGAAAGAAGAAACCTGCTGTTCGATCTCTTCAAAGCGACCTTGGTCCCATTGGACAGAGTCCATCTTGTTCACAGCAATGATGATCCTCTGCACACCCATACTCCGCACGAGGAGAGCATGCTCCTTCGTTTGACCCTTGAGCCCAGACTCGAAATTGCCTATGCTAGAGTCGATGACGAGAACGGCAAAATCGGCTTGACTGGCGCCCGCAATCATATTGGGTACAAAGTCCCGATGACCCGGAGCATCCACAATTGTAAACACCGTACTCTCCGTCTCAAACCTGTTTGTCGCAATATCAATAGTGACACCCCGAGCTCTCTCCTCGGAGCCTTGATCCAATACCCAGGCAAGGGCAAATGATCCCTTCCCAATCTTCTCTGCTTCTTTACGATATTTTTCTAATGTGCGCTGATCGACAGCTTTGAGGTCGGCCAGCAGGCGTCCCATCAACGTACTCTTTCCTGCGTCGACGTGACCTAATCGTTTGTCAGTGGCGTCCGTCCATCCGCAGAGAAACGGGTAGTACGAACCGATAACGGCGAAATTCATGGCTTTCTTCCGTTGCGTTTTCTGGTACTCAGACAGCACATCTAAGTTCTTGCTCTTCACATTCACCTTCTCCTCCACACTCAGGCTGTTCATGCCTTCAGCCAAACCAGCCTGGGATTTCTTGTCACCTGCTGACTTAGAAGCAGGTTGTTTCGATTTGAAGCCTGCATGTCCATTAGGGAGGATCTATATCTTGCGCCGAATAGCCAAACCTTTTGCAGAGCTCTGAGCATTCAAGACAACATCGTCGGGGCTTGGGCCTGCAAAATCAAAGGGTTCAGCAAGTTCTTGACCGTATATCTTGATCAGATCTAATGTGCTGGCGGATAGGTGGCTGGGCTCGACCATCTTTGGGCGTGTCGCTTCTCCAACAATCGTGCTGGCGAATGTAGACGGTGGTGCGCGAATGTTGAGAGCGGCTTCTTCTTCCTGCTTCTTGTCGGTTGACACGGGTGGTTCCATATCTGCCTGCCCAGTGACTTCCGGACTGCTTTGTTTTCTCGGCTCTGGGGACGGCATTTTCTGGGGCGAAGGGCTTCCCAGCCGCGATCCTTTATTGAGTGACCGAAGCGATTGCAGACCCTCGGACGATTTCTGCGGCTTGCCATTGCTAGCAAGTCTTTCACGGAGAGAAAGGGCGGGGCTCTTTCGCTCAGTGGAAGATGGCCGGGAACTTTCGACTTCAGACGGAGGTGTAGGGGTCGGTGCAGCAGACTTCTCTCCCTCTTTCTTCTTGCGCGCAGCAGCCAAAGCAGCTAACTTGGATACCTTTCCGGAATTCTCAGGAGCTCCTCCCAGCAGACCCAACCGGGGATATAGAGGCTCAACGAGTATATCCGCCTTGCGGTGTGCAGGTATGTTGAGCCATGGTGCATCACGAAAGAAGTCGGCTGCCGAGAAATGTGCAGTCGAAGAGGCCGGAGGAGACAATGGAACAGGATATACAGGCACTAGGAAGTCTGTTAGAACATACTTCAACTTCCGTAATGGCGTCAGTTCAAAGCAATCAATCACAAAGGGTAAGGATAATACTCACAGATCATGAAATCCTGACCGACAGTACGTAAATGCCGACTTGCAGGCGATCCAAGCCCAACCACCATAGTATAAACGAGCAGATGCGCTTACCTGTGCTTGTCCTTGCCTTGACAGTCGGAGCCGGAGCCGGAGCCTGTTTCTTCTTGACCTCCTTCGTCTTTTTACCTGCATCCGATGGTTCTTATTAGCCACCGGTGAAGCAGGTCGCCAATTCTGCTGGAACGCAGTTCACGTATCCTCTTTGGGAAAAGAGTGATAACGCACCTCTCAGGTAATTCACAGACTTCTCCACATCATTGTAATAGTGCCATAGCGCCTCTTGCACCTCATCGCGAGTCGCGGTGACGGGAGGGTCCCCTGCACGGAGCTGGTTTAGCACTTCTGCAGTGCACTGCTCAAGGAATTCCTCCTCCTCGGGATCCGGGGAATCATAGTCATCGTCAAAGTCATCTTCATCGTAGCTCACAGCCTTAACGCGATGGCGCGACATGGTGTTGTGTGTTGTTGATGGGAGCGGGGCAGGTTGCTAGGGAGGGGTTCTCCGGGAGACGGTAGGTTTAACGAGGGATTGGAGAAATTTTCAAGACAAGAAATGCAAAAACAAAAGATATAAGTATAAAACACGTTACGTGCTTTGGTGAATGCCCGAGAGTGAAGGGGCAAGAGGGTAGAGGGTTGAAGTTGGCAAAACAGAGAGCCGAGTCGGAGGTTGTCGTTGTGGAGGAGCTGATCGAATCCCACCACGTCATTCCCCGCTCGGTGGCCTCAGGCCGCTTAACTCCTGCGGATGGGTTCTTCCATCACGAATATCCTTCAAAGCAATCTATAGCGCCTTATTTCCAAGCTACATTCTATGCACAGCATTTTGATATCACCTTTTGAACAGATAAATTGTGGTATTTTATATCTATCGAGCGACTCTGATGTCACTCCCAAATTTACTTCATGTATAGCCAACTATGACAGAACATCCAAATGTCGCCTCTATCTTCTTAAGACTTCCAGAACTGGTCGATAGCGCAAATCGATAATATCATAAGGAAACGTCGTTAAAGATCTGTACCCTGATTCGGGCGGAGATGTTCACTTCAGGGGACTTCCACTGAAGAAATCACCCGCTCCAGGGCCAGCAAAGCTGCCGTTGCTGGGCGTCAGAGCGATGGAGCGTCGGAAGGCCTGTCTGGGTGTGGCTGGGGCACTAGCAGCGGCGCCGACAACGTCAGACGTGCTAGGAGTGTTGCGACCGCTGTTGTTCTGCATCGTAACCGCCGTTCCGGGGCGGGAGAGCACGGTTGGGACACCGTTTCTGGGAGGGGGCCGGAATCCAAGCTTGGAACCTTCGCGGAAAATCTCTTCCAATATTTGAGACACAATACCTGCATCTTCGTATTCTTTGAATTTTTTCCATAGACGTAGGGCCATGCGTGCGTCCTCGATGGAGTCGTGTCCTTGGTTGTCATCGGCCGGTTCCTCTTGGATGTATTCCTTGAATACCGCCCAGGCCAGATACCGAAGACTGAGACGGCGGTTCTTTCCGGGGTGGAAGAACAAGTATTGGGTATCTACCGTCTGACTCTTGGGAACTTGAATGTTGACTTTGCGGAAATCAGAGGCTAAGCCATGTCCGACAAACACGCAGCCTAAGTTGAGGAGCAGCCAGAGTTTCTTGTATGCCACCTTCAGCGGGACAAGGTTGTGCTGACTGACCCTAGGGTCCAGATCCCCGGGCTTGATGCCTGAGTATTGAGTGACATAGTCGACAATATTCTCTTTGATGGTAATGTAGTCATCGATGAAAGGCACACCTTCTCGAATCCCTGACCCTCGGAGAACAGATACCCTAGCAAGTCCGCTCTTGTTGGGGCGTACAATTTCCTGAGAGCCATCCGCTTTCACATCGATTTCTGCTTTCTCGAGATCGACAAACTCGGTATCGAGAGCAACAGGCGTACCAGGGGTTGGCTTCTCCTCTTCGGAGAGCGTGACGCGAGATTCTACCGGACGGCCACCGCTGGAAGAGGGAAGATTAGCGCAAATCACGTGCTACTGGAAGGGGGTCAACTTACTTTAGCGACCAGTCACGGAAGAGAAGAGTGGTATCTAGCGTGTCTTTCCAAGTATCATCCATAGCATGTCGACCATCTTGCACCTGGTATGCTAGCACGCACGGTATTTTCCATGGCTGGTTGAAGCGGAGGGCTTCGTCTTTGTCGACTTCTGTGACAAGGAAGTCATTGAAAAGATGCCACTTGTTCTTGGCTTCCGGTTCACGAGATGAGATGGATACGTTGATAAAAGAGACTAGATGTGCCTTTTGGTGCTCCGGAATATCGATCTCACAAACCAAACCCACCAGGTCATATACCACGAGACCTGGCATCTTAACTTGGACTCGTACTTTTAGGTCTTCACCTTCGAAGCATAGAATTTGACCACCGTCGATGACGATTCCAACTTCTTCCGGCAACCACCCAGGAATCGCCCACAGCCGCCGGCAGATGGGGTTGGTGAGAGCCGCATTCAGCATCAAGACCTGAGGCATGCGGTGAACTGATTTCCGGATAGCAACTTGCTGGTATCGACGGCAGTAGTTGCACCATCCTCTATTCTGGGTTTCTCGCTCAATGCTGGCCCGTAAGATATTCGAGAACCGGAAGGCAGGATTCCTGCGAGCTTGCTTGATATCGATCGCAGGATAGTTCAGCTCGTTGACAAGGGAGTTGCCCGGTCTCACAATCTCGTTCTGGCAGAACATACAGCGAATGGACTCGGACGCGACTGTCGCTAGTCTGTGATCTAGGTCGTCCGAGCTCGGCGAGATCATACGGAAGTCGTGCGAAATTTGACCCAGGAAGAATCTGTTGACAGCCTGAATCGCAGCCGAAAGTGACTTATTCGTCAGGTTTTCTTCAAACAGACCCAAGTTGGATGCTTCACGGTAACTACTGAAGGTTTTAAGTAGGTTCGTTGCCTGGCAATTCTGGCCGCTCGCTTTCTCGAGCATATCGAATAGGTAGCCCATCTCGCAGAGCAGACATGTCTCGAAAATACAAGAACTTGCTGCATGATGGAGAGCCACGTTGCGGATATAAGGGATGAATTTGAAAAGCTGAAGAAGAGCGTTGGTAAAGGAATTGGCAATATGTGTTTCCAGTCCAGAGAACGTCGTTTGGTTGTAGAATCTATCCAGAGTATTAGTTGCTGCATATCCCCCCCCCCCAATACAAGGACACTTACCTGAAGTCAAAATCATCAACACCAAACCTACTGTACTTGATCTCAACATTGCTGTATTTAAGCAGAGGATCATCGTCCGTTTCTCCATTTATTTTGGCACCCGCCAGGGCCTCGGCAGCATCACTGATGGCCCCTTCTGATTGCGCTTTATTCTGCTCTCGTGCTTTCTCACTCAAGAACCTGGGAGCAATAAGAGCAGGCTCAGCAGACGACAAAGCGCGTGTGTTCTCGACTTGATAACGCCGTGTCTTCTTCGGATTCGGCGCATGGTGACCGAGCTCTGCCGGGCGGAGATAAGGAATCAGAGCCTGATCTACTTGAGGAGGAGGGCTGCCGACTTCGAAGATCAGATGGCTTGGCCACGCAGAGAAAAGACGGTCGTGATAATATGGCATGCCGATCATATTCAGGGGCGTTTCTGGAGACCAATCCAGGGTAGGGGGACGAGGGGCTACATCCCCGAATTCCGCCTCTTTGCTCATCTCATTGAAATGAACCTTTGCTGGTGATCCCCATAGATGAATTGCACATTCAGCGTCATTTATAGCCAGTGCTTCTCCGGATGGTGACAAGTCGATACCAAGCATGAAGGAAACGTTCGCCTGGCGAAGATTGATGGCATTCGGGTTCATCAGGTCCACAACTTGAAGCTGGCCTGTCTGAGATGCAATAAAACTCGTTGTATGCAGCTTTGGGTGCATTCGTACATACGCAGCTCCGGCGTGGAATGGTATAGGGGGTAACGGCGAGAGGGTCTTTAGGTCGTATACATTGGCCAACGGATCGACGATCGGGGAACCCAAATGCCTGACAGAGAAGCCGCAGGTAACCAAAAGATCGTTCCGAGCATCCATATCATTGACTGCAGTCCCGTGTGCTTTCCACGACTTCACCACACTGAAGTCATTCAAGCTCAGCGCGTTGACGGAGCCCGTATCTGTCGCTCCGCAAAGGTATCGGCTCTTCTTCATGATTGTGTAGTTATAGTCTGTGTGTAGCTTGTCGATTATGATTCCCTTGTCAATATCAATTGTAAACATCGATTTCTGACATCCTGCCACTATAATTCGGTTGGTTTGCGCTGTGAAGCTCATGCAGCGGAGATCGGTCATTTCTTCGTGAGCGATATGCCATTGTGTCAAGCCGCGCCGTGTTATCATGTGCACACTTTTCGGGGAGAGCGAGATGACGCCTCTATCGTGAAAAATAATCTGCCGTACCGGCTCCGTCGCAGGATGTGCCCGGACAGAGGTATATCGCTGGAGCTCAGGACCGAAGAAGGAGGTGATTCGTCCCTAATGGAGTACACGAACGCTGGTCAGCACAGCCTTCGGTGATAGCTGCAAACAACGGAAAAACCGACAAATTCATTTCCCACCCACAACAACTCCATCACATCATCAAAGGCTATTGCGGTTGCGATTGTCGGCAGGGCATGCACGCTCGGTGCAGGCACCGGAATGCGCGACAGTTCATCCCAATCGGCCTCCATGGCCTTGACATCGCACCCGGCAAGGGTGTCGAGCTCAAGATAGGTACGGTCTTCTGATTATCGCGGTGTCAAGAAGTTTCAGGCAAAGCGTTGGGTGTGTCCATTGGGGGTCAGGGCGAAAGCGGGCATCGTTCGGCGAAAGCGCAAGTGCGGGGAGCAGGTCTGGCTGGAAAAGGCGTGGTCTTCGAACTCGGACCACCGAGCACAGGGATGAGATTCACAAGGTGGCACCCGCAAAGACAGTCCCAGGCTCTCGGCTCTCGTTTCTGGGAGCAACAGCAGGCGAGACAAATGGTCTCTGGGGAAGGGGTACCATCCAGTCAGAGCTGCCGGCAATGGCTGATGAGGTACCGACGCATAATTTCACGTGACTTCAGCCCGAGCGGGACAAACATCCAGCACATCACGCCGTTCTTCGTCACCGCCTACTGCATAACTATGTACTATGATTGCGATCCTCATACACATGGTGTAGTTCTTGCTTAGTCGTGTTGTCTTCTTTTTTTTTTTTTTTTTTTTTTTTTTTTTTTTTACTACAGTTCTCGCTGTCTATAATTAAATTCAATCAGTTTTTAGGGATGTGACAGTAGTCAGGATTGTGCTCTTCCTTCAAAAAGCGAAGTACCTGTATACTAGTTACTAACAGTTGAATATATAGTGGCTCGTCTGGGCCAGATGATATCAAATGATACAGATCGCCGAGTTGAAGTGAAAGTGCTAAGTAGTAGTAAGTATGCACACTCAACAAAACGAATGAAAAAGAAGAATCATATAACACTCGTCAAACTCCTAACCAGTTGACCGAACTCTCTTTATATCAAGTGAATATATGCGTTTATATAAATTAATGATTACTAGGATTAAGCTTTGTAAAAAAATTAACTGTATCGAACATTATATTAGAAAAAGGAGAACAATGTCCGCTCGTTCCTTTACCTACCGCAAGTGCTCAGGACTCCAGTAGGGTATTAAGTATTGGGATCGCCATGATAACAAAAAGGTCCCCTAACTATAACTACTTGCCAAGCCTATAACCAGACCGCTGTCTACACCTCATCCACATAACTCCTCATCCTGACTACACACCCTTCTCCGCATGAAATAACCAATGTAAGAACCTGCCTCTCCTCGCCAACTCTCTTCTCCATCCTATACCCCTCCGCCTGCTCGATAGCTTCAAAAGTCTGCAGCAACCGCACGAAGGTGTATCCAACCTCCAACAACGCAAATTCCTGTCCCAAGCAAACTCTTGGTCCACCGTTAAACGGCAAATACCCCCAGCCTACATCCTTCAGCGCATCGTTCTCCCACCGCTCAGGTCGAAATTCGTCTGCGTCGGCGCCGTAGATATCCCTGCGGCGGTGCATCGCGTAGACACAGTATCCTACGGCCTCGCCTTTTCGGACGAGGATTGGTGCGGTGCCCGTTGGCCCGCCCCCCTGTGGGGAGGGTTGTGGTTTTGGTGGCGGCGCGCGAGTTTACAGGGACGGAGGGGTAGAGGCGAAGGACTGGGATGTTAGTTAAATCAAGGTATTGCGAATGATATTTGGGGTAAATTGAGATTGAAATACCTTCTTTGATGACGAGTGAGAGATACTGAAGTGATTTGACCTGAGTTATAGTAGGCGTCGGCGACCTGAGTCCCACCCCAACTGTATCACTGATTTCGGCCCGCAACTTGAAAAAGACGTGAGGATGCTGGACAACTAGACGTCTGGATTTGTGTCAAGAGTCAGCTTTCTCAGAAACAATCATCGGTACATTGGCCCTTACATTGTCCAAGTGAGGCAACAAGCCGTAGTATCCCTCCCAGCTAACAGGATATTCAGACACTGATCCCGAAGTACTTTTGCGTTCCGCGTTTCCTCGATCAAGGCATCGATGAAGATGTAAGGCTCTGTCTTGGTGCCCCGGGACTTGTTTGTGGCTGAGGCCAAGGCCATTTGTACAGCTAATCGTCCGCGCTTCGCCAAATACTCCTGTCCAAGATTGAGAGCGTTCGCAAAGTCCGATTCCTGGCCTGTGATACCCTCTAATTGGAGAGATGGCAGGTGGTTTCCAATCAGTAGAAAGAGGGTAGTCTCGAAAGTAAGGCGAAAGAATAGCGGCTGTAGATCGACGCCGTTGTCGTCAGGAATGCTGGAGATGAGGCTGTCTACGGCGCTGCGTATTTGCTCAAAATTGGTGAACTGGTTCGTCATGAATTGTGGACGTAGCAGCTCGCGTGAGTGCCGCCAGTGTGCGCCATCCTGAGTGAAGATTCCACTCCCCAACAAAGGCAAGAATGTTGGGGGTCGTAGTCCGAGTCCAAAGTCTGAAGTATTGTTCGTCAGTAGTAGCAAGAGCGTCCGAGGTACAGCACTGACCATCAGGTTGGGTCGAAAGAAGGGTCTGTATGTTCTGAGGGTCGATGGTATCGACTCCTCGAGAGAAAAGGAGATTTTGCTCGAACGTTGTGCCAGACTTAGCAACGACATCAAGGAAGAACTTGAGGACCTGCTGCCTACGGTCATAACGAAATGCTTGAACAAGTAGATCTAGGCCTAGTGGCCAAGTCGAGTTCCATTGTCTGAGCGGAAGGCACCCTTTAGCGGAAGCGATTTGGTTGTTAGCCTGGAATACGGATTAGAGAACAGTAAACCAAGGTTGGTAGTCAGCGACTCATACTCGCAGTTCTTGCTGATGGGCAATGAACCTGTAGGTAAGCGCGCATATCAACGCTCCCACGATGAGGCCAGGTGCTGTTGAGCCGAGAAATGCCATATCGCTTGCTTGAATTGAATTTGGGTGAAGGGTAAATATATTCCCAGATCACGTACCGGGTATTCAAAGCTATCATGTACTCATATATGACCCTCGCCACCTACTCCGTGGTTGCATCTGTAAGATTATTCAGGGGCAGAGCGTATACGCCCAGGCAATTAAAGTTGCACCAGATCGTATTAGTAGGAGTTGATGACTCCCGAAAGCGCCACCGTAGGGGAGAGGAGTGGGGTAGATAAATGGATCCAAGTCTAGACACTTCATCTCAACATTATGCTTCTTTGTTGGCGTAGGGCAGGCCAATCATCCGTCAACCCAGTCCAAGGTTGATACTTAAAAGTCCAGATATAGTTTCACCAATCCACATCCCCGCTACTAATATATGCAGCTTAGCCAGGTAGCCAGGCCTGCCGGCTGACCAGAGACTGCGATGGGTAGTTCATCAGCGCCCCAGGCTTTTCATTTGCTGGTAACGAAACCCTTCCACATTATCCCTGGCGGATAGTCCCGTCCCCGTCACACTAGAAGGCGACCCTGATCAAATAGACGAGGTTGAAGCAGCCGCACCCATAATATCACTGGTATAATTTCGTTTCGTCGATTGAACACGATCAACGTCAGCAATAGCGCCAGCTTGCTCGAGACCATGGATCGGAGAAAGCTCTATCGAACAACATTATCGTCATTTGTATGCACTCACTCATACTAATAGTCAATTCAAAAGTCTTGGTTTATGATTAAGTTATGCTTGGAAGTCTCGGCAGGTTAAGTACATTACCTGACCTACTACCTTTGTAGCCTCGTTCTATGCTTCACCTCCCCACTTCATTATTTCTATTAAACTTGACGCGCTGGCTGCATCTAACCATTACAACCCCATCTTCGTGACATGCTGCTCTGGGTATCCGGCCCAATGAGAGAATTGTAGCCACGGCATAATGTTAAATTCGCAGCTCGGGGATCCAGTCGCTCCACTGTTGCAACCACACCTTCATCAACGGTGCGTCCACCGGACCCAACGCTCGCAAAGCTGCACTATGCTTCTGGGCGTTAGTGGTATCCGCGGGAGGACGTATCCAGCTTTCAGAATCAGCAAGTGACCTGAAGAAACCTAGAAGTGACGCCGCAGGAATTTCCAGCAAGGCTTCCTCGTTGAGTTTCGGGTCAGAGACACGGTTGGTCAGGTTCTGCACCCATTCCTTGAGCGGAATAATCTTGGAGGAACAGGCTTGGCTTATAATATGTGCTAATGGCTCCCAGTTACTAATATGTGGGTTTGTGATATGATAGACCTCTGCGTTGTTCGAACCCGTTGAAGCTAACCGATCATTACGTCTCCCACAGGCGATCTGAACAATACTCCGAGCAGCGACATCCTACGTAGTTAGTACACTGGGGCCTTTTGGAAAAAAAGACATATCAGCAAGTGGTCGACTTACAATGGGCACCCAATCGACTGGAATTGACCCAATGTTGTCAGGCAATTCTTTCATCGTCTGAGATGTTCGTACCAGTGCCGGAAACCAGTCTCGTGTCGTCCACATACCTGCCTCAGCATCTGTGGGTCCTCCCAGTTGACCAACACGGTGAACGGCAATTTCCTGTTTAGTTTCCCTCGCGACGAGGTCACAAAGAACTTCTGCTGCGTATTTCGATTCTGCGTAGCCTTGACTGAGTACTATTGATGGCCCATGCAGTGTTTCTGCAATGTGATCAGTTTCAGGCACAATGGTAGGGCGACCACTAACGGCCGCGATGGAAGAAATGAAATGGAAGGCTGCCTGGCGAGGTGAGCCCTTGATTAGGTTGAGAAGCCGTCCCGTCCCTTTCAGTTGAGCATGGAAGCTGGACAATGGCAGATTGAAATTCACCATCCACGCATTATGAAATACAATATCCACTCGCTCTCGCAAGTAACTGTATTCATCCCCAGTTAGTCCGAGTCGTTCTTGGCTCAAGTCAGCCAGCAAGAATTTGACTCGAGAAGTATCCACAAGCCAGCCATCAGCTAACCGCTTCTCACGGAATCTAGCGAGCTGTCGGCTTTCCGCATCTGCCGAACGATTGAGGCAATATACCTGTGCAACGGTCGGATCCTGCAGCAGCTCCTCTAGAAGATAGCTGCCAAGCTCGCCAGTCGAACCAGTCAGAAGTACCGTCTTTCCGCTGAGCTGAAGGTTCTGTGCTTGCTGCCAAATTGCATGTGTCAATTGATGCTCTCGTGGCCAAAAGCTCGAAATGTGCTCCTCGCCTTCAGCTCCAATATGACCATGTAGTTGTCGGAAAAGCGTACGGGCGAGACGCCGGACTGTGGCTTGCTCATAGATGACTGCACTGGTCCACAATGCAGCTATTTGTTTGGACTGACGCATGCGATCGGCCGCGTCTTGCAGTGCCTGCGCGAGTCGAACTACCTGAAGAGAATCCATCCCTAGAGTGACAATATCGGCATCTAGATCCACAGAGATCCCACCCAAGATCCGAGAAACAGCCTCTTGTAGCCACAGCTCGATGCCTTCCATAGTCGTCTCTTTCAGTTTTTCCACGTCATAAATAGAGCCTTCGTTACCTGTTGCATCACTATATAATGCGTTGATAACATCCTCATAGAGCTGAGCCGTTTCTCGCCGGCGAAGAGACCCCTTAGGGGCCAGCGCAAATGGCCGATCAGGAGAAGCAACAGCGATACGGTTATGATGAATTTGTCCATGGGCAGGCAACAAGCCGTTGGCATCTTTCACGAGGGGCTCCAGAGCCTGCTTCAGCCATTGTGGGGTCCATGTCTCCGGGAGCTCATCCCATACAGGTCGAACTAGCAAGGCCACTTGGAATCGATTCTGGCCGAAAATGGCAGCACGATGGACTAAGGAATGGGTTTCAAGGAGGTGCTCGGCATCAATAGGGTTGAGCTTTTCGCCGTTGTTCAAAACAATTATGTCATCTGCCCTCCCCTTTGATCGCCACAGGCGCGGTTTTGTTGGATGAGGTTCAAAAAGATCACCCGTTCGATATTCGCTAAGATTTGGAAAGGCGTGGAAAATACCATGATACCGACGGGAGGAAGGTCGAGGGATAACTAACTCCCACAGTCCATCACCGACTTCCTCCATGCGATGTTCGAAGGCGGGATTCCATTCGAAGCAATCCCAGTCCGCGGGGTCTTCACATAGAAGTGTCGGTGTGTAACCGGTCTCACTGCTACCCATCAATGTTTGCAGGCGAAAGTGGGAAGAAATTGCGTTTCCCGTGGCGCTGGACAGTGGTGCACCGCCGAAGTTCACTGCGGAAAAGCCCTGTATTGCCTGTCGTCCCTTCTCAGATGACCAAAGATCCTGCAACACAAACGGAGCGATTAGACACCATCGAGGTGGATTGGGAGTGGCCATAATCCGCGAGAAGAGATCTTGGGTCAAAGGTCGATCCGGGGATAGTAGAAAAGGTGTCTCGTAAAATATGCACTCAAACACGCAAACTATTCCGATAAAGTGGAATAATGGTCCGTGGCAGAATCGCATCTCACCCTTGTGTCGCAGAAACAACTGGGCGGATTCACGACCCTGAGGCACGGGAAGCGTTTGCATCTGATCCATCGTTGCCAGATATCCATGGGTCAGAGTTACCGGTTTGGGAAGACCCGTAGTCCCCGAGCTGTGGATGATGATAGCTGGGCGGTCTTCTATGTCCGTGAAATTCTCTCGGTGGGAATACGGCTTGACAGGAGATGCTGCGAAGACATCCCAGACGGGATCCATACGCCATCGTTCCAACCCGAGATCAGAACAAGCGACTTCAACCTGGTCGACAACTTTCTTCAGCTGGGGTCGCTCGCTACCATCCACAAGCACTGAGCAGTGGGTCTTCGACAGCAAATGATGAAAGGCTGCCTGCGAGTTGCGAGTGGATAGAAGTAGAGCCTAAGCCAATCAGTCAGAAAAAAGCATCGGTACTGTGGGACAGGAGCCTTCAGCTAGGAATGGGAGATGGTCATACCGCATGGCCTGTCTTCATGCAAGCTAGCTCGAAAACCAGGTATCGCAAGTCATTCGTTCCAATATAGGCAAGAATCTGCTGCTTTCTTCCAGGAAGTCTGCTGTCGATCCACCACGCTACATGGTTCACAGCAGCAGACACCTGCTGGAACGTTATAGGACGCCATTCACAATCCGCATCCTGGGAGCTGGGGTGCAGACAGTACAAGCGATCGGGCTGATCCTTCGCTTGCTGGTCTACCAGCTGAGTTAAAAGCCGTCCTGAAACATCAGCGGACCCCATATTGCACTCAACACTCGATCCTACATTGCTGGTAGTGCGGTCGTTGTGAGAGAGAATCTTAGGCTTCTTTATACATTTGAACACCCCACTCCATCATTCCGGAGACGGAGACCATGGATACGTGAGTTACATCACCCATGGTATAGGCTTGACGATCACAAAGTCCAGATGGCGGCAGCCTTCATCCCTTGCTGTACGAGAAACGTTCTTTCTAAAATCTGCCGATCTTATCTACCTTTTAGTCGCAGTGATGATCCTTAGACCTGCTGACGTCAAGAGTTTCCTTTCTCGACCTCTTGCGACTTGCTCCAGGCTTCTATAATAGGCAACGCTGGGGTAGCAGACATGCACTCAAGTTGGTATCACTATGGCAACTTTGAGAAGCCCCATGGTAAAAACGTGACGAACTACGACTACAATTTATAGGGTTACGTCACCAGACAAAAAAAGCGTAGTCGCATCTCAATCATCTTTATGCGAATACAAGGCGGCAGACAGATGGGCGAACGATGCATTAGTGTATTGATAGCTGGCTCTGAGCCACAACCCATTCTACGGCAGACAGGATTTGCTTTATCTCTGGCCCTGATCGCGGGATGTCATGACCAAACGAATGTTTGATTGACTTCAGAGTTCTGGGGTCGCAGAGAGACTCGACGAGAAGGCCACAATCGTCCAATCCCGGCATATCTTCCTTTCCACGCAGGTGGACAGACGGAAGTGTTATACGCGTTGGTACTACGTCTGGATGCAGGACACATGGGACAAGATCAACCGGGCGATCGAGGAAAAATGACACCGGCTCGCGTGTTATAGACCGGGTTCCCTTGATCACCTTCACAAAACTCTCAGTCACAGAACGAACTGGGTCCGGAAGCTGCGCAATCTTCTCATCCTGCCCAGAGCGAAGACGTTGCTGATCAGCTGATGAAAGAGAACCGAATACAGACTGACAATAGGCTTCATCTGCGGCGCATGGAATCGTGGGCGAATAGAATATTGCGAAACGAAAAGGCAGGGGCTCATCTGGATACGCCGTTTTATGCTCGAGCAGGAACGAAATCGAGATTGCAGCGCCTTGACTGAATCCCAAGACCCCGTCAAAAGGACCATGCTCGTCAATGGCCTCTTCGATCAAGGCATGGGCTGCATCGATTTCCCCTGCATCAAACGATCGCGCCCAGCAGTAGTACGGAGGTGGGAAGGTGCTCCCAATGCCTAATTTCAGTTGGTGAAGCTCATTGTTAGCAAATAGTGGCGTGCGTTAAATGACCGACAACCATACCTGGCGCAGGCGGGCATTCAACTTCACCTGAGAGAAAATGGAACTCCCAGCTCGGGTCAGCGTCTCGCATCAACCCCGAAAGTTGAATTCGCAGAATATCCGGCCCCGTACCGTAGCCATGAAGGCAAAGGATTTTCATTCTGTTTGCTGCTTTTGGTTTGGTATTCTCACAGTATAGGATGCGGTTGGATACGGTTGGACAAAGCCCAATAAGGCTGTTTCGAGTCGCATCATGCCGTTCGCCCTACCAATGGACTTTAAATGGCTCCAAGCAACCAGTACAATGACAGAAACTAGCATCCATAGTAAGCTATCTGTCTATCAAAGATGTCCTTGCAGAGGCTGACGTTATCTATGATGTGGGTAGCGGGGTCGGCAGGGAGATGCGTGATCCACTTTCATCGGAGGTATGCAGGATTCCCATACTGTTCACAAGTAATAGGCAAGCCATACTTGGTGAAAGTTAACAGCGATGCTGATTATCGTTTCATGACGCCATAAGGTGACACGAACGTTGTCGATCCCAGCGGTATGACTAGAACCCACCACGTAAGATGTTGACTGAATTAGTGGCATTCCCCACGACCTACTGATGATGGTAAATGCCGAGTTAAGTGATCCGGTATGTTTTACTAGACGAACTTTATCTCGCTGTTCTGCGCGAATTCTTGGATGTTGCCGGTACAGGAAGCCAATGCATCGGTCCATATAAGTTCAATCATCTTCCTGATAAGGGCGCTCACGGGTACTTGGCCCTTGCGCGCGGGCTCCACTAGTTGGAAATCTGATGAAAAGCTCCGGTGGCTCTTATTGGTCCATTGTCCGTATAGTCTAGGTACTAAGCATCGCTATTTATCCAATGAAATTGCGGTATGTCCATCTACATGACGATCGTGAAAGACATGGGATGCAGGTGAACATTGGGAGATACTATCCCTCTCTGATGGACGGACCCGCTATTGTCGTTCCGCACGGCTTAATCCATTCCTCAACCCCCCTTGTACAACATCAATCACAAAAATGGCAGGTGATTGACCTCATGGCTTAACAAAAATTTCCAGCCTCGCAGCATCAAGCAGTTTCATCGACCTTATACACCAGCTTTGAGGCTCGCACTTTGCCTTGCCGCAGCCAATCCAACCCCGAAGCAATCCCGGCTAGGCCTCCTGGCTTGACCTGGAACCGTTGGGATGTGACCTGACGGCTCTGCAAAAGGGCTTCGACGGTATTCGCCCATTGCGCTCCAAATGAGAGATTTTCCGGCTGGGCCTGGACTTCTTTGCCTCCCATCACATATGGCTCTCCAATCATATCGTATGCCATGGAAACATGCGTATCGACATCGCCTCGCGGGCAGCGTACGTCTAGCAGTGCATTGTAACAGCCCCCGGAGGATGAAATGGCAGCGGCACAGATAGCAGCCGTTTGGTTAGTGGAGATTGTATCGAAAGCTAGCTCGAGGGTATCATCGGTAAACTCACGGATCCGGTCACCTACGTGAGGATCGTGATAGTCAAAGACGGCATCCGCACCCAGTTCATGCATCCAGGCACGACTAACTTCTGAGCACGTTGTGACGACGCGCAGCCCCGATAGCTTTGCAAATTGGATCGCGAGAGAACCTGTTGACGTTGCACCACCATAGATCAGGATGCTAGGGATATCCTCATTATTACCCTTTTCGTCTCTCTGCATATCCGCGATCTCATTATCACATGCCATTCCAGGGCCAGGGAGCTGCATGGACTGATACAGATTTTGGCCGATAGTCATCATGCCAACACCCAAGCAAGCGGCTCCGTCAATGCTCATCCATTCCGGCACCCTGAATTGTATGTCCCCTTTCGCGATGACATACTGCGCAAATGCACCTCCCTGAGTCTGCTTCACGTTACACCCGTGCACAAAGCCGGCCACGCGGTCCCCTTTCTTCCAAGGCTTCCTGACTCGTGGTCCGATAGTTTCCACGACGCCGGCGTAGTCACAGCCGACGATGGTTCCTGTGCAGGTGTCGAAGTCAACATGCTTCCAGTCCGTTGGGTTCAAAGCCACTATATTTACATTGTTAACAACTTGCGCCCGGGTGCTCTAGATGAAAACCACACTTACCTGCTTGTGTCTTAACCAGGATATACTCATCAGGCAAGGCGGGTATCGGCACATCATCGGCCAAAGTAACTTGACCGCGCTCTCGGACAATGACAGCGCGCTGAACAGCCATGGTAATTGATCCTAATAGGCGTCCACTGGCAATGGCAAACTCAAATCCTAACTCAAGAGCGGCTTGGAATGGAATCGAGACCCTGATCTAGATTCGAGAACTATCAAGTGAGCATATCAGCCTACAGTCTTATCCCTTCTATATAGCAACCGATTCCATGGATCTGCTTGGCCCGATAAGGAAGTTCTCTACCGAGGAATTCACACAATGAACGATGACTGCGCCCTGCCTTGATGGAGTAACGAAGATCAAACTTAGTTTAGGACGTAAAGGATGAAGCAGGGCTATAGCTAGCAGACTTTGCGTCATTTATCATTCAGTTACCTTTCTTGGGATCTTGCATTACATGCCTGAATGTTTCTAGATTCCGCAGCCATCCTAAGAGCAGCCAGCAAAAACGTCACGCATCAAAGTCAATTTCTAATATGATAGATATCACGAGTCAAGACTATTGAAGAGTCTAATCTGGTATCTGATGGCAGAGCCATTAAAAGGAAGACCCGGGAACTGTATTTATTCACTTGACAGATTGAAGAAACCATCCTGAACATCAGCCACAATGGAAGAGCAAGCCAAAGACACATCTGGCCCAGAGCCAATTGCAATCATTGGCATGGGGTGTCGCTTTGCTGGCGAAGCATCTTCTATTGAAGGATTTTGGGATACGCTGCGTCTGAGTCGAAGGGAGCATGGGCGTGTTCCTGCTAGTCGTTATCAAGCCTCAGCCTGGGAACATCCCAGTCACGAGCGCAAAGGGGCTGTATGTTCGCCTTTCATGGCAAACGAATACTGCTGGAACTAACCGCGGATCGTTAGATCAATCACGATAGTGGCTTCTTTCTAGCTGAGGATCCATCCCGCTTCGATGCACCCTTCTTTTCCATCACATCCAAGGAGGCTGCAGGTATGGATCCTGTTCAGCGCATCCTGCTCGAAGTGGCGTATGAAACTTTTGAAAATGGTATTTAGATTCCTTAACAGTGTCTCGGGAGATGATAAACTGAAATATGATCCCAGGAGGCGTGCCAATGGAATCACTACCCGGTAGTTCTACCGGTGTCTATAGCGGATGCATGACCAATGACTACGAGCTGCTGTCAACCCGAGATATCATGGACATGCCACATAACTCGGCCACAGGTAATGGAAGAACTATGCTGGCTAACCGCCTTTCATGGTTCTTTGATCTTCGTGGTCCCAGTATCATGCTGGACACGGCCTGTTCGTCCAGCTTGACGGCGCTGCATCTGGCTACCCAGGCACTACGTACAGGCGAATGTAGCCAGGTAAGAGAGCCTCCATATATGATCCGAGGATAACAGCTGATTATTGTAGGCGTTAGTCACTGGAGTAAGCCTGATATTGCATCCGAATTTTACCCAGCGGCTGTCGTACATGCATATGCTCAGCGCTGATGGTATCAGTCACTCTTTTGATAGCAAGGCTAATGGGTATGGTAGGGGTGAGGGGTTCGGTGCAATCTTGCTTAAACCCTTGTCCAAAGCCATGGAAGATGGTGACGCGATTAGAGCAATCGTTCGTGCGACTGGCTCTAATCAGGATGGACGTACCCCGGGAATCACCATGCCGAATGCGACCGCCCAGGCTGATTTGATCAGATCAACCTATTCTCAAGCCCAATTATCGATGGGCGATACGTCTTATTTTGAAGCCCATGGAACTGGGACAGCAATTGGTGTTAGTACGAAGATCATTGTTACGAGATGAGGTACTAAAAGCGTCATCAGGATCCTACTGAACTGTCTGCCATTGGAGCAAGCTTTGGTGCCGAACGAAAGCCAGGCGATGAGCCTGTTTACGTCGGATCCGTGAAAAGTAATCTAGGACATACTGAGGGTGCTGCCGGGGTAGCCAGCATAATCAAGGTAGTTCTTTGCTTAGAGAAGGGAATGCTCGTCCCTAATGCAGGCTTCTCAAACCTGAACCCTAAGATCCGACTGGAGGAATGGGGTTTGCGCTTAAGCAACACCACCACACCGTGGCCACCTCATCTGCCGCAACGTGCAAGCATCAACTCTTTTGGCTTCGGGGGTGCCAACGCTCATGCTATTCTTGAGAGCACAGCGCAGTATCTTGGTAAGACGCAAACTCTGTCTGACACCACAGAAGGGATAACCCAAGTCGTTGTGGTCTCTACGCATGATCAATCTGGGTTAGACCGTACGGCGGACAAGTGGAAGAACTTCCTCGATTCAACCGCGTATGGCAAAAGAAAAGGCATGTCATTGCCAAGTGTAGCACACACGTTGGCTACACGGCGATCCCAGCTCCCGTTTCGCAGCTTCGCTGTGGTGGATTCACTAGCAGAGCTGCGGGATGTGATGGCCGCGGGCTTGCCTACTTTCCCTCGGGCAAGCCGTAAGAACCAGACGCACCTCGCGTTCGTTTTCACGGGCCAAGGTGCCCAATGGCCACGGATGGGCGTCCAGCTATTGACAAACCCTGTGTTTGCGGCCAGTATAGAACGCAGTCAGCAGGTGCTGCGGAGTCTTGACTGCCCGTGGGATTTGCTCGCGGAGATCCGTGCGGATGCAACGACTAGCCGCGTTAATCGACCTGATCGCAGTCAGCCCTGTTGTTGTGCTTTACAGATTGCCTTGGTAGACATGCTTCGGAGCTGGGAAGTGAGCCCCAAGGCAGTGGTAGGCCATTCCAGTGGTGAAGTTGGTATGTCTCCTCTCATTTTGTCCGGTTACCCTCCAGGAAATAACTGACCTGTGCTTTAGGGGCTGCCTATGCGGCCGGCTACTTGACCCATGAGGATGCCATTCGAGTGACGTATTTCCGCGGTGTGTTATCACAACGGATTGCTGAAAGTGGGAGCCGCGGTGGTATGCTGGCTGCTGGTATTTCTGCCGCTGATGCGCAGGGGTATTTGCAGACCCTACCCCCAGATTCCGTGGTGGTAGCTTGTGTGAACAGCCCATCGAGTGTCACTCTTTCCGGCAACATAGACGAGATAAACCTGCTTGAGGGGCGCTTGCAAGCAGACGGTCGTTTTGCGCGCAAGCTGCGCGTAGACACTGCCTACCACTCACCGCATATGAGAGCATTGGCTGCCGACTATAAAGCAGCCATTGAAGCTATTCAGCCGGTTGACAGGTACAATCGTTCCATAGCTATGTTCTCGTCTGTCACAAAAGAGCTCTTGCAGCCAGCAGATCTAGACGCGGCATACTGGGTGCGCAACCTGGTCAGCCCAGTTGAATTTGCTGCGGCAGTCACCAAAGTTGTTACCATGACCGAGGCCGGTAAAGGACGAGGGAGACGGCGAGTAGTTCCAGTCAAGTGGGCAGGCTTCTTGGAAATTGGCCCACATGAAGCTCTAAAAGGGCCGTTCAATCAAACCCTGCAGGAAGCCAATGCTGATTTGGCTTCCATTCCTTACAGAAGTCTAATGCTGCGCAAGCAGAACTCTCGGCAGACCGCCCTTCAAGCTGCCGGTCTCTTGTGGTGCTTGGGCTATGCGATCGACCTAGGTACAGCAAACCAAAGCTTTCTGGACGGCATAAGGCCACAAGTGAGCCGAGATCTTCCACCTTACGCCTGGAACCATCAGTCCAGCTTCTGGCATGAGCCACTGGAATCAGCCCGGCTGCGACAGCGCACAGAACCCCGTCATGACCTCCTCGGTATGCCTTGGGACTACCAGAACGATCTGGAGCCGCGGTGGCGTAATTTCCTCCGGGTTTCGGAATTGCCCTGGCTTGCGGATCATGTGGTGGCTGGCTCTATAGTATATCCAGCAGCTGGCATAGTGTCCATGGTTGCAGAGGCAGCCCGTCAGCTTGCAGACACTACGAAGTGGTTAGAGGGGATTGAATTTTATGATCTTGACTTTTTCCGGGGAGTTATAATTCCTCCAGACGAACGGGGTCTGGAAGTGGTTCTCCATGTGGCACCGCATCGCGGCATGAATGGATGGTACGAATTCGGCATCTTCTCCTTGCCTGAGAATTCATCCTGGGTCCAACATGCGAAAGGTGCTTTTGCTCCACAGTATGCTGATGAAGATGGGGTGGGATGTGCTGCAGACTGGCAGAGCACTGTACAACGAGTGCTACAGACGCAAGCTATGGCAAAGAAGGCTGAGATTGAGGCCGTCTATGAATGGCTTTCGGAAACCGGGGGCGTCAGTCTGGGACCGACCTTCCGGTCCATGGCTGGCGTAGCCTTTGACTCAGGGTCTCGTCTATACGTCACTGGAGTCGCACCAAATACCAAGCAGACGATGCCATATGAGCGTGAATCTCCATGTCTTGTCCATCCCACCGCGCTGGATACCCTCTTCCAGGCTGCCGTGTTGTCCTGCTCAGATGCCCTGACCAACCACAACGCCAATATTCCCGTGGGAGTAGAGCGTCTTTATCTCTCGACAGACTTCTCCTTGCAGGCTGGTGACCGATATGATGTGCATGTCGAGACACGCTACGAGAACGGTGTATCACTTTCGGAATCGATCGCATCCGACCCATCCTGGCAGCAGCCGGGAGTGGTTCTGCAAGGGGTGCGATTAGGTCGCGTGCCTACGCGGTCCGGTAACTCGACCAAAAAGGATATCCAGCAAAGCCGGTTCTCGACACTTCAATGGGCTGAACTCGTAGATTCTTTCTGTGGTCCAGAAGTCTGTCGATCTGATGGACTACAGAGCTGGATTGGCCGGGTCTGCCACACTCATGGAGATGCTCGCGTCCTGGCGGTGATTACCAGAAGCACGGATCAGGTGCTTGAAGCCCTCGAGCCATATGCGCCGAAATGCAGTCATCGACCTCGACTACAGCAGCTCACCATCGTTCTATCTGACCCTGACATTGAGGGATCAACTGATCAGGTCAAGGCCATTCAGGGATCTTTGGAAGGGTGTCAGGTTCTGCCAATTGCCTCACTGCAGGATCTAGACACGGAATTGCTGGGAGAATGCGCCTATGATGCGGTCATTGTTGATCATCCTAATGTTTGGAAGGGTGATACTGCGAAATCCCTGCTCGACTCTCTGCTTCCTATTACTGGGCCGGATTCTTGGATTGCTGCTCGAGCGACTGATGAAGAGCACGATGCAGTAATACGCAATGCGGGCCATGCAGACTGGGAAGTGCAGAGCTCGATTGATGATACTGGCTATCTTCTCCTTCGCCGTCAACATGCTCTGGTGAAGTTGGATACCACAGTCTACATCTTGAGCAGCGCAGCAGATGAGTCGGTTGGTCCTCTTTTACATGAGCTAGATGGCGTCGTGGGCAACCTCGGCTCTAAGATTGAGCTGGTAGATATCGATAAGGCTTCAGAGATAAAAGATAAAACCATCATATCACTGATCGAGCTGCAGCGTCCGTGGATAACGAACTGGGCGTCAAATGAGATCTCACGCTTTCGGTCCTTGTTGGAAGCAAAGTGTCTCCTCTGG